GAAAGCAAAAAAAAAAAAAAAAAGTGCAAATGAAGATTGCAACATTTGTCATAACGTTTTGACGACTGCCACAAACCAAAATTCAATTTGTTTTCTGCTTTTATTCTAAATTTAAATTTGAACAAAAAACGAAATAAAAAAGAAAAGAATCAAATCCCAAAACGCATCACATCATTCAGCAAAAATTAACAAAACTGTTCCTTGGTATTTTAAATTCTTCTTTGCCTTCTGCTGCCCATTCCCTTTCTCAAACTAAGACTGACAAAATTAATATTTTTCTCCATCATCAGATGCAATTGTATCCATCTTTTTTGCCTTTAACGTACCACACGCCAAAACAATAACAGCATCAGTGACAACAATTTGTATTCAACTACGCATATAATGCACGAAAAAATGTCACAAACGACAGCATAATCCTAAGAGCACTTCTAATGTATTAATATATACACATCGAACACTTAGGACAACATCATTCAACAATATCAATTCGCTATTTCTTTGAATAATTAAAAAAAAAAAAAAAAACGGTCCTTTTTTGTTGCTCCGTTACTGCCACTCTATCTCCTATTGATACGCATCGAATCTTTACAGTCATCATACTTCAGCATCGATTACCAACCGATGCGTGTCTTATCAAACCAACAAACTGAATGAGAAGGCATAAAAGAATATAAGCATCAAAATCACCAGAATGCTAGACACGAACATCAGAAAGAGCTGCAAAGAACGACAGCTAACAACTAGAATACCACCAAATGTTACACGGCCTATCTGAAATCATTTCCCAACATCTACCAGCTATTCAAACACTACAGTTACAAACGTCTGTCGACCCAAATGCAAAGGATGGAGCACAAGAAAACCCAAGCGGCTTTTAACAACGAACTGTACAAGTAAACCATGACCACTACCAAGCCTTTTACCTACCATCTCAATGGAAGTCAGCAACTCGTAGAGTACATCCTCCTTCAATAATTGAAAAAAAGGCAAGAAACCCTTCAACACTCGAAATATGAAAACGAAAAAAATCTACAAAATAATAACAGTAAGCCCGAAATGAGTAACCATCCGCATACAAAATTCAAAAGCCTTCTGTGCTGAAACTCAAACAAATCAATTAATTTAAACAAACAAATACTTAAAGAAAAACAAAGAGAAGCAAAAGCAAAAACAATAATTAACACACTGAAGCCTAAGAAATCAAATAAAAACAAGGAACACTAATCTTGTCTCCCCCCACAGGTTGCACTTCGTTAACATGGAAACTCAAAGAATCATAGAAACTTTTACTGCTGACCATCAACAACGCGTAAAATGACTTCAAAAACTAAACAACGCTACGAAATAACGAAAATTTGCAAATAAACCCTGCAAACTTATGTATAAGCACAATTAAAACTTTGTTTTTAGTGCACTCTTTCAAAGTATGGTGCCATCTCAAGTAAGAAGCATTTCACTAAAGCCGAAACTACCGTAGCATCAAAACATTTGTCAAAAAAACAGCACCACACCCTTTATATCTTAATTACTCTACGAAAAAATTGGGCTCCAAAATCAGCAAGTAAATAGATAAAGTCATAAGTCAGTAAAGATATCTTAATGCAAACAGAGATCAGTTTCTATTTAATATATTTTTCCATAAACTTCTTATGAAATTCTGAACGAATGGCATCATTAATAAACGTAGGCTCCTTCTTACGTTCATCTAAACCTTTGGCGCAATTTTTGAAAACAACATCATCATCCCAACGTCTTCTGACCTGGAAGGTTATCGAAATCAAAAACCAGTTTTGAGAAGCTTCAAACAGAAAGTATGATTAAATAGGCTGGTTCAACATACTGTCGCTTTCAGTCCGTGTTACTTCCATCAACTTTTCACTAACTATTTTTACCACTCTTCTGACATCATAACATCAAACTGATGATTTCGCTAAAAAACTGCTAAAAAAGAAATCCTCAGATAAAAAGAGTACTGTAAACGTAATGCAAGTACCTTAAAATCTGACGTGTCAGTATTCAATAAGGGGTTTCCATGCAACAGATTTTCCGTCCGTATACGCTCCTACAAAAATGATTTACTTCCATTCAAAAACTTCCTAACACTTTTTCAAAATCTGGATAATTAGAATAAAAAACAATTAATTTAGCGTCTTCTCACTTCAAAACTGAAACGAACAGAATATAGTTAATCAGAAGCATGGCCTAAACCAACGAAGAAAAAAAGCGACGATGAAAAACAAATATAATCAAGCAAAAAATACTGAATATAAAAAAACAAAACTTACTCGTTCTTCTGCTTCGGCAGCATCACGCTGGGCTTTTTCCACAGCTCGTTCCTTTTTTATCCTAGCTAACTCAGCCATTAATTCGGCGGTATCTTCTTCATCTGAATCGTCATCCTTAAAAGAAACATGCGTAATCTATTAGAAAGTGAACCGTCTACTGAACATATTAAAAGCAGTAATTTTCATAATCGAGCAAGCAATTAAAATTAACACTTTCTTTTCCATATGTTAAAAACAACAGATCACAGCAACTGTATAGGTATCGTTTGTTTTTCTTCACAAGAAATCGACAAAAATCTACTCTGCCTAAAGGAATTAAAGATTACTTCATCTTCATAGTTATCGTATGGATCATCCTCATCTAAAGCTGCATGAGATACTGCTTCTATCCGTGGCTTCTTAGAACTCGAGCTGCCGACACTGCTTGGATTGTAACCTTCACGGCTTCTTCTTTCCCTAGAGGCAATCCTTTCCTTTTCTTCCAGCTCACGTCGTAAGTCCTAAATAGACCTTCTTACCCACTCTCTGGACCTTCTTACCCACTCTCTGATGGCGCGAAAAAATGACAAGCAAGAAAGCTTACTTTGCTTCGCACTTCATCAGCATGACTCTGACCCTTTTGACGATACTTGAGTTTCGTATGTGAAGGCATATCTTTGCTTGAATACTGCTGAGAAAGCTTTGAAAGATCTCCCTCATTTTTCCCAGTACCACCCCTAGCGGGCACAAACGTTGGCCTGTGAGCGGTCGTCATTACTGAAGCAAAATAGACACAAATATTTAAAATTTTCAATAATAACTTGAAACTAACGAGCATCAAATCGTGCAAACAAATAACTTCAACAGAAAAACAAAAATTTTTATGTGTACTGTACATGACAATAACACCACTGAAACACAGCAAACTTGCAAAAATAAACTGGCAGAATTTTTTCATTGAAAGATTCATTGTATACTAAGAAAATTCTGGATAGTTTGAAAAGAAAAACACTTTCAGAATCAACAATATTAGCTAATAACAGAAGG